GGCGCGCACTGCTAACCACCACACCTTTGCGGCCGCCAATAACAATGTAAAAATCGTATAATAATCACTGTTTGCCAGCCATTTGTGTGTAGCTCCAGGCACGAATATGTACGAACATACATATGTACTATGTACATACATTTGTATGTATGTATACATATCAGTAAGTGGGTGTACGGTAAAGGCGCCATGCAGTGCGACTACGAATAATGTCATTTTCCTTTTATGATCCATCATTGTAGTGGCATAAAAAATGCTATGAAATCAAGAAGGATGAGAAACAGAGAGAAAGCGAGAGAGACAGATAGAGAGAGAGAGATTAAAGAGAGACGGAGCGTGAAGGCTCAAGGGATGGCTATCACAGCGAATGGCAACAATTAGCGAAGTTCTTTGAACTCGTAAGGACATACATACAGTGTAGTTAGGCACATACGTACATACCTAATTGTAACAAGTAAGGACAGTACTGTCTTCAGCTATGCCCAAGGCATCATACCTTTCACGAAAATCAGAAAATTTAACATCAACCTACTACTGCATATTTGATAAGTTCTTTGGGAGCTAGAGATTATAATAAAGTGGTTTTCAAAATTTTCACTTTAACTACATAAATACATAGATAGATGAGTAATGTTATATTTGAACCATCAATGGCATGGATGATACACCCTACAAAGTACAGATTTTTAATGATTTTCACTGTAAGCTCGATAGGTATGATCGATAAGTAAATGGGTCACAAAATTCCAAAGTTTTAACTGCCTACGTAAAGGAGACATATCCCGAAAACTTATATGTATGTACATATCTGAAAAATCAATGGTATGGGAGATTCCGCTTAGAGAGCAAAGACCTTGACAATTTTCTTAGTAGACTTTATGTTATTAATTAGTAAGAAGTAAATAAAAAAATTTGAAGACAAACTTTACTTAGTGGTTAATAGAAAAATCAAAAGCCGACCCCCGTACCATCTAACCGTTAAAGTTTTAGCGGAGTTATTTCTTTTCATTTAAAATATGAAATAAATCTGACAGATTTTCCAAATATATCGACTGCTGCGCCACCTAGCCGATTAATTCCTATTTCATATTGCAACGTCATCTGGTCAATCACAACAACAATCAGCTGCATGGAAGCTATGGGATAAAATAACCCGATCAATAATACCCGAACGGAGGCGATAAGCAAGGCACTCTCTGAGCATGGAATACAGCGCCTTATGGTGGCATGGATTGACTCCATGCTGTGAGCAGGAAAACCACCAGCGGTACGCCTGAAGGGGGTGTACTATCCTTTCTCCTCCGGCTACTGGTGGCGAACGAAATTCTGGAGATTTTTAAAACAAGGATAATAAGGGTTTCGCCTATGCCGACGACTTAGTGATACTACTTATCACTGCCAAATTCCTGTCAACGATAAGTGAACTAATGGATAGTCCATTAGGTGATATCTCTAAGTAGGCCCACCAGAATGGATTCGCGGTTAACCCCTCCCAGACAGAACAGGTAATGTTTACAATAAAAACTAAAGTATCTAAAATTGTGAAATCGGGAATTGTATGGAAATGTCGCCCCACGCGTCGACTGATGAGATGGCCAGATGCGGCTCAGAGATGTCAATTGAAGAAGCGGATAGCTCCGTTTTACCACTGTTTAGTGATCACATTAGGAAAATTGATGAATACATCGTGGCCGCGACTTAGTAGGAAAAAGGCGAGGGACATACTGCAACTTGATAGACCTGCAGTAAGAGCCCTTACCGGCGTCATCACAGGACACTGTGCTATAGCCGCAATGCTTCTATGGTGGCGAATAACAACAAGTACTCTCTGCAGAAGCTGCCGTGATGAGGATTAGGAAGAGTCAATTCTGGGCCGATGACAAGGTCTATAGACGAAGCGCCTCAAGCATTTGGGCTCACGCTTCTTTAACAGTCGAGAGCGAGATAGCGGATGTGGAACTGTTCAGTAAAATAATGGCTTGGAAGCTACTCTCTCACGATTATGGGTACGATTCTCCGCCTGACATGGAATATTCCACAAACGCCCTCCTAACCTAACCTAATCCGATCTTTGTAAATCGGCTCAGCTCGACAATCTTATCATTTTGGTATAGTTTTTGATGGATCTATCTCAACTTCTTCTGTTACTTACAAAGATACCATTTCATGTTAATGAAAGGTATAAAAATATACGTATATACATATGTACATGTGCACGATATTGCTCCAAAGAAAGTGATGGTAAACTTCAATGCACCCAAAAGGAATCAAACTGCAGCACCACACATTACATACATAGTATTATCTAAAGGCAATTATGTGGGTGCCATAACTACTTTATAGTCTAGTTATATAACGAGGCAGCACATGACAACTTTCCATTACTTTTATTTGGCCTGAACGGCGATAATTAGAACAATGAATGGTAAGTGTCATATGATTGTGAGTATGAATAGGCGCTGGGGTCTGTATCATGCCGATGAAGTTCTGGATTTTATTGAAAAAAATTCGTTTAATATAAAAAATCCACCGTGGCTTACGGCACTTCGACCGTAACCGGAACGACCCAGATATATATCAGAAAGTTCAGTACAAGCAATACAAAAAAGTTTGATTTTTAAAATTCGAATAGCAAAATGACAAACATTTGATTTTCTTGCAAAGTAATTATGTATTTATGTTATTATATCGATACCTAATTGGAAGATCGACCTATCTCGGCAGCCAGTTCGTAAAACGCCCTATCTCAGAAAACTGTTCAAGAACGCCCTACTTCAGAATTTGATTGAAGAACGCCCTATCTCAGGTACCGATTCAAAAACGCTATCAATGTATTTTCAGCTGAGATAGAGCGCTTTCGAACTGGCTGCCGAGATACTAGGTCGATCTTCCACTCAGGTGACGATATGTAACTACACAAAGAAATAATAGGATTTTTGTGCAGCAAAAGACATTTAAATATATTTTCGAAGGGTGGTGAGACTGGCTAGCCACTGTGTTTATAAGGTTTATAGCGTCACTAAAAAACCCATGATCCCTGGGATCAAGAGCTGTTTTGGAAAGGAAAGTAGATTTCTTGGCAAAATAAAACCAGTTTTTTATCGCACTTTTTTCTCGGTTGCTTCCAAATGCTGTAGAAAACCTACATCCAGTAGACAGCGCACCAGCCTACCGAGAGTTGGATGCTCCAAAAAGATGAACTCCACAGTCTTCTCATTCCTTTCGCATCTCATGCTCTCATGCACATCTTACCATGGGTTAGACCTAACTTAAAGGCATGTGACACGACACAACAATAATTGTCCTGCTAAGTACATAGTACACCAACTAGTAGCATAGCGCGTATCTTGATCAGAGATAAAATAAACGTTGGGAAGTTGCTGTGATAAGCTCCCCATATCGTTATTGAAAGTCTGCAGTTTTGCGTTTTAGTCTACATCTTTCTTGTCCACTGCTCAGCTCATATTTTAGTGTGACTGCTCGTTGCCACTGATGCTAAATAATATGTCGCAGTGCCTACGCGCTTGTCTATTTTATACCCACCTATTTACACATTCACCGAGTCGTCATCCTTCGACCTCAAGGTGCCTCCAATATTCTTTCAAAAGAAGAAATACCAGACAAGGTAATGTGACTAGGGGTTTCTTTCGAAGAATATTTGGAAAGTATTTTTGTACTCTACTTTCTTCTTGTGAACTAATGGAATCAGCTCTGGGTATTTTTTCTGGGTGGGGGAAAAAAGGGCTAGAAGTTAACAAAACGGAAATTGTCTTGCTCTAAAGCAGAAGAAAGATTCCTCAGTTCTGTTTGCCTGGCCGGACCAAGACAGATTTTATGTCGGTTTTGTAGGACTTCCGCTTAGGCATTCCTATACAATATCCAACTAGGGATGAATAAGACGCTGGCCTAGGGACGAGAAATGATAGCCTTACCATATATAGTAATAGCTCAGGTGAGAACACAAATTAGCGCGGGATTTTATAGAAAATTTGCTTTATAAAGGAAAATCAGTATATTCGTTGCCAGTCTAAAGTCAAAAATTGTTCGTAAATCTTGCGCATCGCCAGCATCACCAGATCACGTCATCGTCTCTCTCTGCGGGGCTCATGCCGATTTCGAAGGGAACGAAATAGCCACTGCAATGACTAGACACGATTCGGAAATGCATACTAGCGAGGCGGTCAATTCACTACAACCACCGTTGTGTTATCTATTTACTGAGGAAAGTAGACGAGTACACCTCAGCCGTAGCAAATGTCCTTTGGACCAACCGAGATAACTTTGATGTCTTAAGGTCTTCATTTGAAAAAATATCCGACTGTCCCAAGGGAGTGAGTTCCGTAAAACGGAAACCCGCTTTTGGCGTTGTGCCATCTTAAGTGTCACTTTCCATTTTTGACAAATTGTAGATACGCATGTATGTAATTAAAGTAAGTAGTCAGTAGTAAGGACTAGTTGGGTATTGGTCCTAACAAATATCTGGCTAGGGCAGTGTACGCGCTGATAATTGTCAAGTCATTATTATGCTGAGCTACTCATAAAAACAGTAGGTGAGACGAAGCACACAAACACACGCCCTCTAGAGGTCGTTATCCTTACTGTGTAGCAATGCAGTTTTTAATGTGATACATTTTATAGCTTAATTCAAGCGTGCCAGCAAAGATAGCAAACTTGCGGTTGTAAGTAGTTAATTTTTAAGCGTTGCATTTGAGTAGCAGCAACAATGTTAAGCCTAGCCTGTTTACGAGAAATTATAAAAAAAAACACCGAAAAAAAACAAAAAAAGACAAGACTTATTGCTGTTTTTCTCTTGTTAAAAACCAACCACAACAAATTTAAGAAAATCATAGAAATGAGACTGTACACAAAATTATCAAGAACAAAACCAACAAAAAAAAAAAAAAAATTAATTATATAAAAAAATGTAGATAAAATATATAGACCAACTATATAGAAGTGGGGGTGGGGGGTGAGTATTACTTGCATGCAAACAAACGTACAATGGCCGGCCTATGAAGCACCCAGATACCCACTTTGGCCATCTGAGCTTGAACGCCCTTTGCTTGTAGTCCCTTGACGGCGCCCTCGGCGTATGCTGGCAACTCGAAATCGACAAAGCCGTAGCCTGAAAAGAAAGAATATTTTGTTTTTGTTTTCGCCACGTGAGATTAGCGTGTATTTTATTCAAACAAATTATTTTTAACGAATAAAATAAAATTTAATTTCGAAATGGAAATAAATAATGTATTTTTTTTTTTTTAATTTTTAACATTGATGAATGCATCGAAAGGATTAAAATTAAATCGAAACAAAGTTTTAGAAATGGACCAGAGAAAAACAAAAACAAAATTTTCGAAGAGGTAAAAGAAAAAAAAAAACAAAAGAGATTAGCAATATTTTTTAAAAATTAATAAAATGCAATAATAAAATTGAGTGATCTGGTTGAAAATCTAAAAAACAAGTTAAGATACAAAATACAGAATCGGAACTTATTTGTTTGGTTAAGAGTCAAAAATTATTATTACTATTATTTATTGTTATTGTCGATAAAAGAGTGAGTGAAAATACATATCGTTGGTGATACTGTAAAACGTTTTACATATGTATGTCAATTATTACCCTTGGCGCTTAGATGGTCTGTTAACCGTATTGAAATACTTCTGGGAATCGATGTACTCCCGTAAACCAAAGAAAAAACTCTCTACCTTTGGTTGACAAAGAGGAACGATTAACAGCAGCATTCAGATACAACTGAAAAGATCATTTAAGCGCCGAAGGCAACAATTGACGTAGAACGTTTTGCACTATCGCCAAGGACATATGTATGTGTGTATATCTGAAATATAAAGTGCGAAATTTAAATTCTTTTTAATTTTCCGTTGCCTTTTAAATATAAAATTATGTACTTATTATGTACTTATATACACAGAGTTAAAGAAGCTGGGATTCATTACTTATTAGTATAATTTTTTTTAATTATGTATGTAAAAAATTGTATGAGAAAAAAAAAACGCTATTCAAATTGCTTAACATACGAGCTACAAGTTAAAAATTTTCTTTTTTAGACCAATTGAATATTCTTTAAACTTTATTTAAATTTAAGATTCAACCAATATATGCCATCTTGTTCGATTTGTATATTGTACTTGAACTTAACAAATTCAGATTCTTACAACAAAAACACACGTACTAAATAATAAAGATGAGAAATGGTGAAGAAAAAAAATACCTTTACATTTGTTTGTTGTTTTATCTAAAATAGCCTTGGTGGATATAATTGTTCCATATCTGAAAAGGAGAAGAAAAAGGATTTTTTTTTAAATTTGCAAACAAAAAACTTTAATTTCAATGGATTGTTCTATTCTTTATGCACTTCAAAGAACGATCAAAATAATTACTACGAATAGTTCTCTGTACAATGCTTTATTTTTTTTTTGTATTAAGGTCAAATATTTCTAATTATATAATTTACCAAAAAGGACGAGGTGAGAAAGCGAAGGTTCAACTACATATCTATCATAGGAAATACACAACAGCTTGTAATATGTTTTATCCCCCTTTCTCGTTTGTGCTCAAAATCCGAGAGAGGAGGATTTAGCTGCTTATTAGTCCTCCTGATCGCCTGTAAGGGGCTCAATATGCATACAGCATATGTGCATAGTTTGAGACAACGATGGTGAAGTCGACAGAGAAAGGTTCATACAAGAAGACTTCTCGGCATTAAGTGACCCTCCAACTTTTATACGTCTTCGATAGAAAGCTGGTGCGGGCCCAGCGGGCCGCATTTATTAAAATCAGCGGGCCACTTAGAATCACTCCCTAATGCGTAATATAGCGTCAGTCGCCACCATGGGTAAGGCTGCTGCGGTAAAGGCTGCGGTTAGACCTAGAGGTACTAGGGTTTTAAGTGGGCCAGGCCATTTTACCCCTGATAACACGGATCACTGCTTGGCTAGACTGGTATCAATGAGCTCTGTCACTCCTAGGGATGAGTGCAGGGGAACTTCTGCATCGATGTGCCGATGCTTAACGGAAGGGCCGGTGTACGAGCCTTTTGCAGGCATATCTCTATCAACCGCAGATATAATCTTCCAGATCACTGGAAAGAGTCGATTGTCAGCTCAATTAGGCGTCATGGGTAAAGGAGGTAAAAATGTACACTGCGCTTACAGATGATAGGTAATTACTGAACCTTTATTTTGATTACTTTCTACTTAGACTTTAATGACTAATCGACCATAGTGATATTGCTGAAAGCTGATTTTTGCACGAGTTAGCTAGGAGAGGCACTTTCGCATCAGTTTCAACGAGAAAGCAGTGAGCTGGTGTGCCTTTGACTTAACGCGTCTCGAGCCAGCTCAGCGAAAGGTGGGCGAAAAGCAGGACAAGTCCTGATCTTCTCGTATTCACACATCCACAACTATCAATTCTAGTGGTTTTATTGACGGGACAATGTGTGATGGGCCTATAAGTGGAGAGGCTTAATATCGCACCGCAACTTTATTGTCGCAGCTGCTTAGAGGACGATGATTCCATAATTTCACATATGATGCCCAAAGAGGCTACGATCCTTCAGAGAACCTTCAATGGCACATTTTAACTAGTTTTGAAGTAAGGTTTTTTTTATTATAGCCTAGAAGTTACCGTACGTAGTGCTTAAAGCCGAACACCCACCCAGACACGTCATAAGCCATGTGAAGGGGTCGAATATAAACATGCCTTTACAGGGTAAAACAAGGAGAGCAGAGGTACTTGTAAGCACTAATATTTGCACCGGACTTGCCCTTTCACCACCATTTTGTTATATCAGTTACCAGATTTACGGGTAAGTTTTGCGTATTGATGCTTTTCGAAATTAAAATTTTAACACAAATTCAAGATTTTAAAGAGGAATGTCCTCAACTTCAGATGAACAGTCACATCTTGCACATCGGCGGCTACAAATCCGATAAAGGCGTCGGTGCAGGGAATTAAGGTTTACGACCCAGAAATGTCCACTTTACCGACAGAGGGAAAGATAGCTCTGTATTTCAGGTTGATGCTTACGTCATAGAAATTCAATATACAGGCAGTGGAGTAACAAAAATATGCATACATATACAATGACTTAAACAAGCTTTCACATAGCGATTTTATTTTTAAATATTCACAATGTTTTTCTAGTGAAAATTTTTCTTTAAAAGTTTTTATAGAAATATTACTTATTAAATAAAAATTTCAAACTCAATACAAAATTTAGGAAACATCTGCGAATTTGCATCAAAACTTTGAACTTTTCAATCTGAATTTTAAGAAAATTTCTGGGTGTGTAAATTTGTAGAAATTTTAGCACATTATTTATAAAGGTTTGGTTATATTGACAAAAAAATTTGATTTAAAAAAACATTATAAATATTAAAAAAAATCACCATTAGAAGGCTTGTTTGAGTCACTGTATATATGTATATATACTTAAATATTAGGGCGGTGCTCATCGATCTTTGTAATAAAATTTATAATTTAATCATAAAAATTGGATTTGTATTTTTGCGATCAAATTTAACTCTAAATTTTCTGATCTTTACTTTTTCAATCAAGTTTTCCCTACGTTCCCTACAAAAAGGCCATACTTATGTACATATATTTACCAACATACAATATGCATGTAAAATAACATTTATTTTTTTATTTTTTTGGGGACTTCGCCACGGTCATAACTACTGACCAGAGTAGACTAGAAATCCTAATGGTAAATTTAATGAGCAAACGACATTTCAAATAACTCTTCTCTGTGTTTATTTTTACGATTTTATGTGCATAAAAAATAAAATTGCCTTTAAAAACATTGCGATTGATACTCACTGTGCACACATAGTTACTAAATCCTTATCGGTTGTGCCTTGTTGCAATCCTCTAATATACAAATTTGTTTTCGACAATTGTTCCCCTTGTTGCTGTGTACCGTTACTAGGACCCATTGTTGTATTTGTATTGGTATTACTCAGACTAGTACTTAAAGTTCCGCTCTGTGAGCCGGTATTGGATGAGCTGCTTGAATTTGTATTACTTGGCGATGCTGCAGTTGGTACACGCTGACCGTACTGAAATTAGAAAAGTAAGAAGAAAAATGAAAAGACAAAGAAAAAAAAACGCAAACATTAAAATGCAATATTTAAAATTAAGAAAGGTATGTATGTACAATTGCAAGCGACATAAAATGAACAATGAAAATTTTATAGTACAATTAATTTTGCAAATGCCCAGACAAATATTCGTTTTCTTGGCCCTGTGTCAACTAAATGTCAACATACGGCCTTAATGTTTTATTTGTTTTTATTGACGACTCGGGTGGTAGTGCAAGAGATTGTGTGCGTATTTGTGCCTACGGTTGTTGGCTTAATGTGATTTCAACAAATCAACACGAGTTAGCCGACCGACAAGTAGAATGGTCGAGGCGTGAACTGTGCGAATTACTTTTTGTGTGAGTTGCATTAGTCAGAGTCACATACTTTGATATAAGAATCTGTGGATGTATTTTTTGTATGTACATTAGAGTGGTCCAATTTTTGTATGAAAAAAAAACAATGCCATCCTAGAAGACGGGGCACCCCCATAGGTTTTTCCTTTTGATATTTGTAATATCTATACCAACTTTGAGTTTTCTACTGCAACCAATACAGGGTGCTGGTACCAGCACCTCTTTCGACAAGAGGAAAAATTTTGGAAGGTACCCCAAACCCTATCTGGGAATTTTTTTTTTTTTTACCACTCTAATGTACATATGTGCAACATATTTACATTCATATGTATGTACTCTTGTGTATTAATCTGGCAGTGCTTCCCTACGGCTAGCTACCGAAAACACCCGCTTGGCTTCTATGCGACACGGTTGGCAGGATGCAGGACATGAGATAGCCTTCGAAGTTAGACGCCGGGTGAGACACTCGTTTCCTGCGGCGGGAAAAAGTACTAAGCTCAGAGGAAACAGTCGAGGTTTTTGGTAGCTTGCCAGATCCGCAATTGGTCTTTATCTAAAAGTACCGGTCAACTTAAATGATTTCGTCATTAATTTTTTTTTTTTTTGGATGTACAGCAGTTTGCAGATTATTGCAGATGTGTAATGGCGTGTGAAAGCGAATGTTGCTTGAAGAAAAAACTAAGAATGTAAGATATGTTTGTATATGTATGTATGTATACTAGGGCTGTGCGATTAACTGATTATTCAAAATTTCAGTTAATCGAATAATCAAGACTTTGATTAAGCAAAAACAAAAATATTAGAGTAATTTGCTTTATGATTAATCAACATTCTGATATGATGTAATCAACATTTGAAAGTACTCTTTACATATATGTTAAGTAGTTGAAGTTCCTTAATACTTTGAAACCAATGTTTCTGTTTTCAAAAACTAAAATGAAATATTTTTTTCATATACAGATTAGGGGTATTCACGATCCGGTGCATACTGCCTTGCATGGTGCATAGATAACATAAATAGCACGATTGTTGTTGTTTCATGTGTTCAAATAACAACAAAATTAGCCATTCATGCTATTTATGCTATCTATGCACCATGCTAGACAGTATGCACCGGATCGTGAATACCCCTATTGTAAAAAAGAAGATAAGCATTTTCAAAGGCAAACTCTTTTAACGAGAAAAATTCATCCTTTTGGGTAATCATATTGTAAGTAACTCGATTAATCATAATTTTAAATAATCAAAATCTTGATTACTCGAGTAATTGATTAGCCGAACTGATTAATCAACTTGCTCGAGTAATCGAATAATCGCAAAGCCCTAATATATACAGTAGTCGAAAAATTATAGCCGCACCATATATTGACAAGTTTTAACATGCTATTTTTTGGTATTTAATTTTGGTTATTTTTTTTATAAAAATATAGTTCATTCTTTAACCGAAACCGTGTAAATCCAAGTTTAAAACTTTACGCAATACTAAAAAAAAAAATCAACATTAGATTAGATTTCTTAGAAAGATTTTGCGTATGTAGCTTTGTAGCCCATTGAATTGAAGTAGAATAAAGTGCAAGTTTCAGTTGGCTAAAAATTAGTGATAATTTAAATTTTTTGTTCCATTTGCTTCCCTCATACGCATAAACACAACTTATTTTTATATGGAAGACAACCATAACATCTTCGACAAAGAATATTCTAAAAAATCAGCAGTACTTTTTCTGCAACATTTTTCATTTAAAAACAACTTCAAGTTCAATAAAATTGTTGAATTGTTATTGTTATTATATTTGCACTTCCGAATAAACCGATAATGTACCGGAAAAATGATTTTTTTACATATTTTTTTTGATTTTTTAAAAAGACACCACTTGTGAACCACCTTTTTTAATGACCTAGTTTTAATGTATACCATTCGAATCCCTTAAAAGTAGTTAATTCGATATTTAAAATTAAAGCTATTTACAACTTCATGACTGGGAAAAATTGGACACTCTCGTTTTTGATTTTTGGCGTGCACTAAGAGAATGCTAACTCGGTTACTGAGATTCGAATATCAGTTTGGTCGAGATATTCCACATAAGGCAAATTTTTCAAAAGATCAACGGGAAGATGATCAACATCTACTTAGAGGTATGTAAATTTCAAAGCCACTTTCGATAGAACGAAAATAATTGCCTTTGTGCCGCGATGTCTAAATATGGTATCCCCGAAAAACTAATACGGCTGTGTAAAATGATGTTCAGCAATACCACTAGCTCCGTCAGAATTTTGAAAGACATATCTGTGCCGTTTGATACCATACGAGGTTTTCTTTGTCCTGTAAACCGCTCGAGGCCAATTTTTTACAAGAGTTATATTCTACATATCGATGGCTAAGTGGAAGATCGACCTATATCGGCAGCCAGTTCGAAAACGCCCTATTTCAGAAAATTTTTCAACAATGCCCTATTTCAGAATTTGGTTGAAGAACGCCGTATTTTAGAATTTTATTGAAAAACGTCTTATCACAGAATTCGGTTCAAAAACGCCCTATATCAGCACATTTTCAATGTATAATGGTTTGAGATAGGGCATTTTTGAACCGAATTCTGAGATAGGGCATTTTCCAATAAAATTCTGAAATAGAGCGTTCTTCACACAAATTCTCAAGTAGGGCCGTCTTGACAAGTTTTCTAAGAATTGGTGTTTTTGAACTGGCTGCCGAGATAGGCCGATCTCCCACTCATGCATTGACATTAATTCCAACATTTCTAAATTAAAAATTATGTTGAGCTGTATCGAATATTTTTTCAACCCAGAACTTCATTCATATCAGTAACGCTCCCTCATACGACAATGTATTGCCAGTGAATTTCAATACATACGTACACACCTATATGTATATATATGGGCCGTTCCATACCAAAACGGGTTCACACTTCATGTGTTTGATTTGTTTCAAATTTTTAGGGTTGATGGATTAACATAAATAGTAAAAAAATATGAAATTAATTTGGGCTTGATTGATACATTTTTAAAAACTTTACAGCACAAAAAAAATCGATTTAATAGTTTTCCAATTAACTCGAGAACGGGGGAGGAAGAGTTTTGAAAAAATCACACATGCACACATCAAAGTTCTATATGAAAAGAAGTATTTAAAAAATGTCTTCTTTAAAAATTTTTCACAAACAAATTTTTTGATAAAAAAAAAAATAGTTTTTAAATATATGCCATATCAAAAAAGTTGAAAACAATCACAATGGTAGCTATGAGCATTGCGCAATATTTAAGTGTAGTATTATGGGGTGCACTCCACAATAATTTGAGTTATGAATTTTTTTCATAATTTTTTTGAGTATGCATTAAATTTTAGTTTAATAAAGTGCAACTTTTAAGCGATTGCAAAAGTGCTGTTAGTTTTTTTTAAATTTAATTTTAATTTTAAATTGAAAACGGGTTCGCGCATTTTCTCCATAAGAAAAAAGTGCAAAAAGCCATCAGCATAAAAAATATTCAAAAACAAAGCAATTTTGCAGTAGCTTAAACTTTGTACTCAAAAAAATTCTACAAAAAATTATAAATTTGAACTTCTTCTTATACTTCTATTCTTTTCTTCATAAGAAAAAAATGCAAAAAGCCATCAGCATAAAAAATATTCAAAAACAATGCAATTTTGCAGTAGCTTAAACTGTGTACTCAAAAAAATTCTACAAAAAATTATAAATTTGTAATGTACTCATTTTACTCAACTTCGGTGCAAAAAAATTCATAACTTAAATTATTGTAGAGTGCACCCCATAATACTATACTTAAATATTGCGCAATACTCAGAGCTACCATTGTGATTTTTTTTTAAATTTTTTTAAAATGGCATATTTTCAAAAACTAGTTTTTTTTTATCAAAAAATTTGTATGTGAAAAAATTGACAAGAAACATTTTTTTTTTTAATATTTATTTTTATAGAGAATTTCGAAGTGTGTATGTGTGATTTTTTTTTAAATTTTTTCCTCACTGACCTCACGCACCATCAGCGAAAAAGATTATAAAAATCAACGCGATTATCTAGCGTGTGGAAATTTGCGCTTTAACCTACTCACAATTTAATGGGATATAAAACTGCATACCTAAAATTTTTCCAAAAATTTTTAATAAAAAGTTTAAAATTTTTGGGTGAAATTGTTAAAGTTTGTTGAATTTTTATAATTTTTGTAAGAAGTTTGAAAAGTAAATTTATGAGGTGCTGGTTATGTAATGTACTAGACGTTTATAAAAAAATTATAAACATTAAATAAACAAAAGAAAAATAACCTGAACCGGTCAAAATGTTATTTAACTTAATCAGCTGACCACAAGTGTACGTACGTACGTACATACATATGTATGTATGGTTGAATAAATATTTTTTTTGGCGTCACATAAAACTAAGTTAGCTGCCATCAGTGATAACTATAATTTCATTATCTGAGAAGTTCATTGGCATGAAGAATGCGTACAATATAATAGGTATGTATATAGAATGCTATCGAATTAGTGACCACACAGCAACAAGGACAGGAAATTGGCTTTATGTGTGTTAAAGACTTGCGCAGAAACGAATGTGTTGATATCGAATATGTGAACAAACATACATATGCAAG